AAAGTGACCAATTCCAAAATATTGATTTTTTTTTTTGAAGTTATAATTATACAAATTTTGAAAAATAAACCATTAAATTGCTCATTTAAAAAAGTTTTTAACTTCCAAATAAGCGCAGATAACGATTAAAGTTTTTCGCTGATTTACTGTACAGACTAGTTACTATGAAAGTTGTTAAAGTTGTCTGCAGTGCCAGGCGAATAAATGGATTAAATCAAAGAAGAAATAATTGTGTTCTACTACATATTAAAGTAAAGTAAATCCTTGATGAGCCATTGGCCTCAGCATGAAGCGGTTGAAAGTAGCCTATGTTACTCTCCTGAGTGGGACATTAGTCCACCGCAAGTTACTCCCACCAATTTGCTGGTACCCATTGATACAGCTAGGAAGAAATGTAGATAAAGTGCCTTGACTTTAGACACAAACAAAATGCAAAGCAAAGGATTGAAACCACAACCTCAAGGTTGAGAAACCAAACCATTTCTGCTGCGTCAAATGTTCTACTACATAATTGCATGGAAAAACTTTAGATGATAACTTACAGTACAGTACGCAAGCAAATAATTCAAACACTACATTTTATTGTTTTTAAATTAAGTTTATTTTACCCCGCCACTAATCAGTGGCGTATCTATAAGTCTTGAAAGGGGGTGCGAAGGTGAAGTGGGGGAGCTTGATGATCAGTTGAGGGGTGCTAACTCGCAAAATATGGTGTTTTTTAACTATTTGCAAGTGAATTTGTACATCCAACTAGATACTGTATACCACTGCCACAAATACATTGAGAGCTAGCACTGAGAATGTTACACAGATTACAGTAATATCCAATTACGTTCAAAATTTGAGAGCACTATTGAAATTAGTAGACCAACATCTGAAGGTGGTTTTTGAAAAAAATATAAGACCCAATAAAAATAATTATTAGTTTCACCCTATCTGAACTGTAAATGTGATGAGGAAGGGAGGCTTTTTATTTTTTGGTTTTATTTCTAAATCCAACTTTGGGTTGTTTTGTGGTGCACTGATATTCGAAGTAAAATACATAATTGAGATAATACTATAATATCTACTGTTATTACAAAAAAAATGAAAAAAAAAAAAAATTTTTTCCAAATGTTTTTTATTTTAATACTATAGAAGACATGCGGGCGAGGGTGATAAACTAATCATTTTTTATTGGGCCTAACGGTTTCAAAAGCTTTTAGTTTCGAACATCGTTGGAAACCAACTTGAAAATAATTGGTGTAAGTTTAACACCTTGTTAGTGTATCATCTAGCCTAGGCCTGCCCAGGCCTTATAGACTGTATCTAGATCCGTGTCTGCAAGGTGTGACCCTCTTGTGCCTTTGGCTGAGCTTGTGATGTGTGTGTGTGTGTAAACAAGTTTATTTTTTATTTTACTGCAAAAAATACTGAAAACTACAATTATGTTCTTGGAAATCAAAGTAGGAAATTACAGAATGTAAAATGATGAATGTCACGATTGACTTGTAATGTGTTTTTTGTACAGTACAACAGCCCAATTTAGTGTAAACTTTTGGACTACTAATAAGAAAGTCAGGTCAAAATAAATTGCGGTCACAGAACTCTCAAAAGTGCTTTTAAGCAGGGGATTAGCTGTGTAAATCTGCTTAGTTTTAATCTCTCATTCACATGTACATACTCAAGAAACGCACCGCCATGTGTCGCTGATACAAAAGCGTATTTTCCAATAATTCCTTATCACTCAAGTCCGCTTTGATTATCTCACAACAGGAAGGTATAAATTACACACTGAGAAAAATCAAATGCCGAGATTTTATATCATACCTGTATAGGCCTACAATTATAGGAAATGATGTTTTGCCCTACCTGACATGTTATCGTACTGAATGCTCAGTAGGTTCCAAAATACTAGCAAAAAAAAAAATCTTGTATTAGTGATTCCTGTGGGAATCGAACCCATGACCTTCAGACAACTAGCCTGGTGTCTTAACCACTAGGCCACCGATTTCCAAGTAGCAGCAATAGGATGCGGTATTTCGAGAAGTATTTAGAAACGTACTGAGCATTCAGTGGGGTAGGGCAAAAACATAAATTAATTCAAATCTCCTGATATGACTATCGAACATACAGGATGAAAGATGATGCCAGAGAATAAGGTTAAACATTAGAAGTCTTTGGCTCTGAAATATTATGTCAAGCAAAAAAAAAAAATGGCTACTGATGGCTGTATCAGGGATAGCACCAGGAGTTGCCCGACGGACTTTTATTCTACTAGCTCTCTGACTGTGGGTTGCCAACAGTTTAGCGCTGAGCGGTCATAAGATCAACAATTGCTTCTGAAGTCTGCTAGAGGTTTACAATTCATATTGCACACACGACATTCAATTGTCAATGTGTTCTGTTGCGAGTATATTGTTTGTCATGTTTTCATGGGCGTTCATACTGTATGCAGTCAGTATACACTTCTAATATTCATTGGTAAAGTATGTATACTTATTTAGAAAGATGATCTCTCCAGTTTATAATAGTAATTGGTCTGGTTTTTACTGCTATTGCAAAATTTGTACTTCATATTTATTACCTAAAGTAACTGGATCAGATGCATGGTAAACACATTCTCAGTCCCTGGGGGAATATCTCCTATATTGCTGTTAAGTAATCACAAAATTGGTCTACTTGTATATTTAGGTGTGATTGGTTTCAATATGAAAGTCTCTGTAAAGAGTGTATTGCCTATTTTTATTTTTCAAATTGACATGCATTTAAATTGTTTTTCATGTTTTGCATTATATGTTTGAGAAAAAAAAAAGGCATAAAGAACGAATATAGCGCTTCATGCCAACGGCTTTTAAGTGCTTCAAATTATTACCCACGGTCATTGGATAAAAGCATGCAACACATACTCAGCTCCTAAAGAGAATTCCATAATGTTGCATCTGTATTTAAATCATTTTGTGTTTGAACCTACCAGGTACCTGCTTGTACTCCTTGGTGGAGAGAGACAACCTGTAGGAACGTGTATTGCCTAAAGAGCACAAGCAAAATGCACAGCGAAGGATTGAACCTCTGAACTCAAGGTTGAGAAACAGAAATGTGCAAACACTTCCTAACCACACCTACCTGTACAAGGTTCTGTACCTAGTTTTATACTCATGGATGGTGCGAGATCTAAAATGCCTATTCTAGAAATCTAAAAACACACATGTCCTGTGTTGTTCAGTACTGATCAATACTGGCCTTCATTTTATTACACTAAAAGGTACCAGTTGATATAGTCACAATTTAATACAAGAGCCTTAGTGATTAGTACTATCAGATAACATTTTCAGTGAGCATTATATCTAAATTACTGGTATTGCAACTGTCTAAATCACACTATTATATTTTCTTTAACAACAAAACTGCTGTATGCCCATATATAGTCATGATATGCCTATATGGTCATGATGTGCCTATATATGGTCATGATGTGCCTATATATGGTCATGATGTGAGGTCATCAAGACAACATTTAGGCACATAAGATTTGATAGTCTGCACACGGCTAAAGTCATTATAAATTCTAATCATTGGCGCCACACGTTTTATTGTGAATACAAATTAAGTTTAGCATTATTTGTCAACATAAAAATTGAATTTCAGAAAATACACACATTAAATTTCACATTAAATATGAATTTGAATTAATGCAAACACATTCTTGTAAATTTGCAAAAACGTGACTGCACTGACCTACCACGTACAAGCAGAGAGAGTACACTGGCAGAGAAGCAAGGACATAGTGTTCATTCATGGTGTGTTGTGTGAATTGATTAACTGCTGCACATCTACTTTATATATCATTACATCTAGGGCATTACAGTGTTTTAACAGGATGCATTCTGCTTAATCGAAGTCAGCCATGTTCTGCCCGGCACCTGTTTTTTAAATTGCTGTTTAATATTACAATGTCTTTTCCTAGTGTTTAATATTGAAGTTCAATCATTTTGAGAGTAGAACATCACCGACATCACAGCAATATCTGACTTCATTTTTTGACTGTGTGCAACACTAATGTTTACAATTTATTATCTTTTTTTGCAGTGTACAGTACTGTATATGATTAAAAAGCCAATGAGTTTTCATGTCTTAAGCTTTTAATAAAAAATTATTAAATTCTATAGAAAGAAAAACAGTGGCTTACAGTAGCTCTGCAGACACTCAGTTGCAAGACCGCTTGGTAGGTAATAGAGGGATTTGGCGATGGGTGTCACATGAACTAGGGTGTTTGATATAAACAGTCGACTGGCACAGCGTTGTTTTACATGGAGATTGCTATGGCGGTCATCCCTTGTTATTGCTGTTAAATCATCATAATTCCCAGTAAACTATACCAAATTGATTGGAAATTAACTATAAGAATTTTGCCTTAATGGTTTGCTAATGCTGTAAAGAATACTTGCCACCAACATTGAGATTTTTCGACAAATGTTAGGCCTAGGCCCCTGCACATCTACGGAATGGTTAGGTATGCATGATGGTCAATTGTACTGCCTTTCCTAGCCATTTACGTCTCACATTAACAGTGGATGGTTGTTTCGCAACCATAACATTTTTTTTCCTATGCTATCGCACTGTAGTGTTTTTCATGTATACCCAAGTTATTTCACGTGACCACCTGTAAACAATCCTTGCCAAATCCCTCTATTGCTCATAACTGGTGTCATGGTACCGTGTCGCGTCATCCAGTAGAGTTCACAGGGAGTGAAGTTGGATTCGCCGTACGGAACGAGTGATTGGCTTTAGTCTTATGATGACTTGAGTACAGATATCATCATGCATACCAACCTCCTCCACTCCATAGGAAATTTAGACTGCATCTGAGACTAAATTCACTCCATATCAGTGGGTATAGAGATACTCGAAGGACGCAATCAACGTAAAGAGTATACTGTATGGCTCAAACATAAGTCGTAAGCTTTCCCACAATGCCATGCAAAAAAAAAAAACCATTACCATCATCATTATCTTTTTACCTTTTTGAGAGGGACGACAGTGAAAGCGCCACCACCAGCGGCTTGTAAGACAATAGCCAGGAACTTTGGGTTGACGGCGCAGAAGTTGCTGTCATGTGAGTTGTCAGTTATTCTCAACCCCTCGTAACATTTCTCCTTCTGGAATGGTGAGCCGAAGACATGCCGGAATTTGGATACCCGAACACCTTTGAATCCAGGCATCTATAGAAGAGAAAAAATAATAATAAAATATGTTATTGCTACTATTCATCAGCAAAACATACAATACAAAATGATACATCCATTTTAGTAATAACATGCACAATATGTTCAGTGGCGGATCCAGGAGATTGAAATAGAGGGGGCGCAAGGAGGGGCCTTCACAGTTTAGTCTAGATGTTTATTTTTATTTATTTTATTTATTTATTTATTTAGGTACACAATACATGTGCCAAGGATTGTCAATAGCAATATATCACTGTCCTACTTGTAGGTGACAATCCCTTACACAAGACAAACATACACACACAATACTTTACACAAACTAAATCTCCATAATATGTGAGATTTGTTTGTTTATCAATAAACTGCTCTCATGCACTGTAGTAGGCTGATTCAAGGAGACCTTTGAGTAAGTTAACCACAGTTTGGCAGCTAAGTTGTAAGAGAAACCACCTGAAGAAAATTCATGTCTCCCTCTAAACACGACTTCAAATTATAGACTGTTTTCTGTACTACTACTCCATCGTACAACCGCGATGCGGTCGCATGCAGAGCACATGTTCGCGCACACCGACTTTACATGTTCAGTGTTGGGAGTAGAGTTGCATCGTTCCGTCTCACCGCCACCCAGTGGCTCAGTTAACTGTACTACGCTTGAAAATGAGAGCCGACTAACGAAGTCAGGCGGCAATTACTAAATAGTTTTAAATATTAATTATATAGCCTATATATCCATATAAAATATTGTTCACCGGCAGATTAACATTAGCGTAAATTAAAACCATTATTTTGTTAATTATCTTAATAATAATATGAATAATGTAATATTGTAGCAAAAACGGTCTATTCTCTTCCACAGAGAAAGTAGGCCTATCTGCTACAGTAATTTCTCTCGTTCGCTTATATTTTGAATTCGTTTGTCGACGGCGTTTATATGAAGTACATCTTAGTTCCTTAAAATATTAATATTTTTCAATACTAATTCATTTACAAGGCAAGGTCATGTAAGATTTATTGTATAATGGGCCTATGAAATACATTACAAAGTTTCGGGGAAAATTAAATACGTAACACTTGTGGAAATAACACAATATCTGTCTCTTATAGTTAGGGCGTTGAATTAACTATCACCAATTATTGACACGCGAACACGACATCGTTAAATAAACAATGTACTCTCAACGTTCATTTCAACGCAACGCAACTCAACGCAAACGCAACGCAACGACAACAGGTAAAACGCGTTGGGATTTTTGCAATAAAACTGGCCGGTACTGTAATAACATCAATATCATTTCATGATGATTATTTTCTAATTAGAGGCCAATGATGCTATAATAAGACAATCAAAATCCTGGTCCTAAAAGTGGTCTCTGAGGGAGACTAATAAAAAACAAGAAAAAACAAGTCTATACTGTAATTTTTTTAAATCTAGATTTTATTTTTTTAAGCATTACAATACAATTTATAATTTTCAAAAAGAGGATGGCAGTTTTTCCACTACAGTATTACAATCTTTCTTCTTTTAGAAAATTCTACCTGCATCTGTACAAACGCTGAAGTCTAATGAAATTTACGGTTTGATTGAATTCTGCTTGACTCATTCATGAGTCTAAATCCTAAATTTATATTTTAACGATAAACGACTTCACCACCAGTGAACAGCCAATCACATCACACATTCAATCACTATGGAATAAAAAAGTAACATTACTGTCGTACTAACATGAAAATGACTTAGTTTTCGTAAAAAAGTGAATCTTAAGTATTTTTCTCAATTGATATTGCTTTACTTTGACCATTCAATTTACAGTAGTTTATCATCATTTGTAATACACAGGCACTATTTTTTAACAGTATGATCAATTTTTTTTTTCACTATTGGAATTCAATCTTTGTAAATTGTAAGCAATTGCAATGCAATAAATAACATCAATGTACAGTATCTAAGGGCTCGTTGACAATTATCAACATTAATGAAAAATGTACAGATTTAAACCTACTCTTTTCGATACTCCCTCCATCCTCTCTAAAATTGTACATAATATGTTGATTTCGCAACACCATGCTCCATTATTTGGCGAAGTCAACTTAAGTACTGTATTTGGTTACATAAATAAAGTATTATATCCGTGGTTGCATTATATTATAATTGGTCTTAAAAATCTAATAATATTCTAAATATTGGATGTTATTTTGAACAATATCATGCATATGTAAAAGTGTACAAATTTTTTTTTCCCCTATGCGTACTGTTCGTGCACTTGTGAAAATGTTGATAATTGTGAACAACCACTAACATAAATAAAGGAGAAATTTAGATTTTATTGCTTAAGTAGTCTAACTTCATAAAGTTTTGCAAGTAATAATATACAATACATTTAAAAAATTATGGATCTACACCACTACTGACAAATTCACTTGCGTTAAGTTTATAGCGTACCACATCGCTTAAAACATGGTTCCTATTGAGAAAATTCACCAACTACTTTCGATTTGATGTTGAAAACTTGAATTAAGTGTCTTTCCTCTTCATTTTCTAAAACTTGCTATGGCTTATTATATCCAACTATCAAATGACTCAGCAACTAATACACTATGGAACTTTACCTCTGAGTGCTCTACTATTAAGTCTCCTTAAACTGCTTTTAATAGTCAAGATTTTTTATACCTTGTTAAAGATAAAAAAATAACCCCATAAAATTTTTTTAATTTAACTTGCTTACTCTGAAGTAACATAAAAATTAAACGACTTAAAACTATATACTGTACCATACCAAAAAAAAAAAAAAATATTGATAACCATGTACATTAAGTTCAATTCTGGTAAAAACGAATATTTTACAAACCTATTTTGTACATTTTCAAGCGAATGCTAAACACTTAACCTTCACTGTCGAAACAAGATTATTAATATCCGCATTAAACAAAAATTAATTATTTTATCTTTTGATATGCTTACAGTTATGCAAACTACAATTTAAAGTATTCATACCCATGATTTAAAGAACCATATCTGATTCAGACCCTGGAATCAACTGAGGACCTGTCCATGGAAGTTCTTATCTGGTCATCAGTGTCTCATATCCTTTACATTTTTTTTAAAGTGAATGAGAAAATTCACTAATACTGTAGGCCTAGTTAAAAAAAAAAAAATTTTTTTTACAAAGATTTTCCATCATAATACTGAAGATAATCTTGATTGAAGCAAAAGGTGAAGAGAGCATAGTATGCTCATTTTGAGCGTAAATAAACAATACGCCCTTATACGCTGTTGTCACTTTTGAAATAATACTAACTTATGTATAGACATAACAAATTAATTTTTATCTGTCATAAAAACAATGGTACATTATTAAAATATTACTGCTTAGGTAATTTTAATGGGTTAATAAAAATGTTTGTAGTATATTTAATGTTTTACACTGTATATTATAATCTATCTCACAAGGTGCCTGGATGTACAGGTCATTGTGCGTGTGCGTTTAAAAAAACGATAATTAAATCTGGGCAATTGTCTTCAGAGCTGCTGTAATATAAAGCGCAGTTGTTTACAAAAGACTGCCTGGTTCTTCTCGTAATACCAAACTCATTCGGCAGATGTTTAAATTGATTAGATGACTTAAATATAGGAGTGTTCATTGCAACCAAAAATTAATGTATAAAGAAGTGGCTGCAGAGAAGAAATATTACTTAATTATCAACCCCCCCCCCCCCCACAGACTTGTGTACAGTAGGCCTATCATTCCATACATTACAGGGTTAAAAAAGGTTTGCCATGGCCCAAACACAGCACTGATGAAAAGAATGATGTTTGCTCTAGAGACCAACTACTGTAAACCATATTATCGTGATCCCTTCTAAAATAAAAGATACATTGGCAGCACAAGAGAGGGGCTGTCAAGATGGAGGGTCCACGCACCTCAGTCCCACCTTAGTTACATGTATATGGCACCTCTAGATCTTGAAAAATGTATTGGGGGAGGGGGGAGGCCAGCTGGGGCACCCTAGCTGGGGCACCCTTGAATCTGCCACTAAGAAATATTGCAAATCAACATTCACCTGGCTAAAAGACAACTGACCAACTTATAAGGAAGCTCTCAACGACCTTTCTGTTGGATGCAGAAACAGCCAAAATAAAATTAACTGCTATTTTTATGTCCCCACCCTCATAAAATTTTGGAGCCTCATGAACAAATTTTCTATATTAGTTTATTTTTTTTTAAAAACCAATAATTTTTCATTCAAAATCAAAATAATGATGAAAGATTTTTGTTAAAATCCGAGAAGAGGTGGAAATATAATGGCAGGGTTACAAATACAGGTATATCCATTTTACTATTTTTTATAAAAAATAATTTTTATTATTACTAGTACGGGAGGAAATAGCAAATTAGTAAACACCCTCACCAAAAAATAATTTCAAACGCTGGAGAAACTAACAATTAAATTTATTTGGCCTTATAATGTATGTATGATAGGCAAATTGTAATAAATATCAATTTAAGTCTTGTTGAAATTTAAATAACAAACAACCAACATAAACATCATTACCAAATGAAACCTTGAAATTATTAAATAATAATACAAATTGTTTTGTGTATTTCAAATTTATGTATTCATACAATATACAATGGAAGCCTTGTGCACTACATTTTGACATGGCTGAACGGTTTAATTTAATCTTGGAATAAAATAGTATCTGTATGTCTACACAGCTAGGATCAACATTAGGAATGAATACTGCTGCTAAGCGAGAACAAGCATCTGCAAAGCTTGGCTACATGATATGTACGGACATGTTTGTAAATTAGAATTCAGAAACATTGAACAGTGTTACTTGATGTCATGAAATACTGTACTCTGTATAGCAGTATACACCATGTTAAAAAAAAGTTGTACGTTGGATTACGTACAGTATTAAATTATTAAAATTATAATTTAATAAATATAATTATTTATATTTTTTTAAGATTCTTTCAATATATTTTCAAATTTAA